TTGAACCGCCAGCCTTCTGGTTAGCAGTCAAGTGCCTTAGGCACTATGCTACCAGAGTTCCCAAGGTAGTATCCTCTATTTTGTGAGCCAGTCTGAGATAGGACACATGTGAAGAGTGAAATAACACCTACCAACATTTTCTATTATTAAGATTGCTTAAATTGCTGCTGTATTCCTCTTTGACTATTTTGCTCTCTTATTAAAGCTTAGGCCACTCCTCTTCTCACGGACTTAGAATAGAAAGCACAGCACATACTTGGGATAGTCTAAATAAACTGATACTCCTTGTTGATAGCAATTGCAAAACCTGACTGCTCGGTAATCATTGAGCTGTTATCTCCAGATGCTGGACACCCTCTGATGGTCCCCATTTCATCCAAGCAAAAGAAAATATCTTTCTGAGCAAAGTGTAGGACTAGAAGAGAAGCCCACCAGCTTCCAAAAATGGATTACTTTGGGGATCTGTAGGAAGAATGTCATCCAACTTCCATAAAAAAAGGATAGCCTTGAAACCCAAGCCCCTAATTTGTTGGTTGTGCAACTTCCGTATTCTGTCCCCCTAAAAGCACTTGACTGCTAACCAGAAGGCTGGCGGTTCAAACTCACCAGCCACTCCTCGGAAGGAAGGTTGGGCAATCCTACTTCCGTAGTGATACTGCCTTGGAAACCCAAGGAGGGGTCGCTATGAGTCGGGCCGACTCGATGGCACATAACAACAACACAACAACATACCCTGCTGCGAGTAGAACAAAGAGCTCAGCTCAGCTAAGTGTGCCCCTCCCTCCCGGCTGATGTTTCCTGTGCAGTGTTTCATCAAAGGCTTGCTTTTTAAAATCTGTCTCTCTGCACAGTTCTTTCTTGGCAGGAGACAAGAGACTACCAGAAGGCTCACAAGTCCTACCCTGTGACAAATCCATTATTTTGCTAAAAGGTGACCTCAGGGATAGTTTTGGTTCAAGGTTTAAAGAGTATCTCAGCGTGATAGTCTCAGAGAGTCCTTTAGTCTCAAATGGGCCAGTAAGTTTGGACCTTTTAAGAATCTCATTTCTATCCATGCGTTTCTCCTGTTCTGGCAGGGAGCATCTATTGTGGCCCTAATTAGAATGCTTGGTAGCTATACCCGGGCACCAACTAGTTCTCCTGGTCTCAGCATAGATCTGGCCGTGACTCTTATAGGCTGTCAGCCCTGTACATTAGTTTCTTCTCTGAGACTTCGGTTTCCTTCTTACACTTTGGTTCCTGATGATTGGAGACCAACAGCTGTATCTTACATGGATGTGCACAAGCATTTAAGATCCCAGGTGCTGCTCACCTCATTAGGACGCAGAATATGAACTTTGTGAACTGTGTTATGCCAATTGATTTAGTTGTTCCATGAGACTAAGGTCTTAAGCCTCAAACCCAGAAAACCAATCTCACAATGTGTTTGGTTATGTCTGAGAAGTGTCTATAACTGTGTCTTCTATAGATATATAAGTGTGCCTACACTTGTCTGTATGTAAACTTTTATAAAGATACTTCTATCTGTACACACACCTGTACACACTGTACTCACGCATATACATGCCTACACACATGCATATGTCTACCACTCATCTGTAGGTTTGTCATACTGTAGTAGTCTCCGTGTTGCTATGAGGCCAGAGGCTATGCCACTGGTATTTCAAATATCTGCAGGGTCACCCACAGTGGACAAGTTTCAGTGGAGCAGTGAAACACTGACTGATATAGTTCTAGAAAACTTTCTTAATATCCCTGAAACATTGTCTAATATTGTGCTGGAAGATGAGCCCCTTGGGTTGAAAGGCACTCAAAATACGACCAGGGAAGAGTTGCCTCCTCAAAGTAGAGTGAACCTTAATGATGTGACTGGAGTAAAGGTTTTGGGACCTTCATTTGCTGGTGGGGCATGACTCAAAATGGGAAGAAACAGCTGCAAACATTAATTAATAATCAGAATGTGGAATGTATGAAGTATGAAACTAGGGAAATTGGAAGTTGTCAAAAATGAAATGGAAAGTATAAAGATCAATGTCCTAGGCATCAGTGAGCTGAAATGGACTGGTTTTGGCCATTTTGAATCAAATAATCATATGGTCTGCTACACCAGGAATGATGAATTGAAGAGGAATGGAATCTTACTCATCATCAAAAAGAACATTTCAAGCTCTGTCCTGAAATACAATGCTGTTAGTGACAGGCTAATATCCATACACATATAAGGAATGCCAGTTAATACTACTATTATTCAAATTTATGCACCAATCACTAAAGACAAAGATGAAGAAATTGAAGATTTTTTCCTACTTCTGCAGTCTGAAATTGACCGAACATGCAATCAAGATGTGTTGATAATTACTGGTGATTGGAATGCAAAAGTTGGAAGCAAAGAAGAAGCATCAGTATTTGGAAAATATGACCTTGGTGATAGAAATGACACCAGAGATTGCATGATAGAATTTTACAAGACCAATGATTTATTCATTGCAAATACCTTTTTCAACAACATAAATGGCAGCTATACATGTGGACCTCACCAGATGGAATACACAGGAATCAGATCAACTGTATCTGTAGAAATAGGTGATGGGTAAGCTTAATATCATCAGTCAAAACAATGCCAGGAGCTGACTGTGGAACAGACTATCAATTGCTCTTATGAGAGTTCAATTTGAAGCTGAAGAAAATGAAAACAAGTCAATGAGAGCCAAAATATGACCTCGATTATACATCACTTGAATTTAGAGGCCATCTTAAGAATAGATTTAATGCATTGAACACCAATGACTGAAGGCCAGACAAGTTGTGGGATAACATCAAGTACATCATACATGAAAAAAGCAGAAAAGCCTTAAAAAGACAGGAAAAGGAGAAAAGACCAAAATGGATGCCATAAGAGAGTCTGAGACTTGCTCTTCACTGGAGAGTAGCTAAAGTGAATGGGAGAAATAATGAAATAAAAGAGATAAACAGAAGTTTTCAAAGGGAAGCTCAAGAAGACAAAGTAAAGTATTATAATGAAATGTGCAAAGACCTGGAGATGGAAAATCAAAGGGGAAGAACATGCTTGGCATTTCTCAAGCTGAAAGAACTGAAGAAAAAATTCAAGTCTTGAGTTGCAATATTGAAGGATTCTGATGGCAAAATACTGAATTATGCAGGAAGCATTAAAAGAAGATGGAAGGAATACACAGTCACTGTATCAAAAAGAATTGGTTGACATTCAGCCATTTCAGGAGGA